TTGTTTGTTTGTTTTTGCGGTACACGGGCCTCTCACCGCCGTGGCCTCTCCCGTTGCGGAGCACAGGCTCCGGACGCGCAGGCTCAGCGGCCATGGCTCACGGGCCCAGCCGCTCCGCGACACGTGGGATCTTCCCGGACCGGGGCACGAACCCGTGCCCCCTGCATCGGCAGGCGGACTCTCAACCACTGCACCACCAGGCAAGCCCCTGGAGCTGTTTTCTTGATTGTAGGATCTCTTTGCTCCCAGGAATGAGTGACTTCAACAGCCTGTTAAATGGTTTTGTCCAAATTGAAAGAGTTTGTTTTTTTTTTTTTCCTGTCAGGTATTATAACGTTTATAAGGTGTTAGAAATGACTCCAATTTCGACTCAGGTCTTTGGGGCTTATGTGTTTTAAAACAGCTTATTTTCAGGCACAGAAAACAAACGTATGGACACCAAGGGGGGAAAGGGGTGTGTGTGATGAACTGGGAGATTGGGATCGACATATATACACTATTGATACTATGTATAAAATAGATAACTAAGGAGAACCTACTGTACAGCTCAGGGAATTCTACTCAATGCTCTGTGGTGACTTAAATGGGAAGGAAATCCAAAAAAAGAGGGGACATACGCATATGTATAGCTGACTCACTTTGCTGTACGGTAGAAACTAACAACATTGTAAAGCAATTGTACTCCAATAAAAATTAGTTTAAAGAAACAGCTTACTTTCAATGTGATAAAGGCATCTGAGAAACAAGCTTTCACTCACTAAGCTAAACACAGGGCCACTGGGCTTAAACCATCTAAAGAGAAAGGGAGAGTGAATATTGTTCATTACATGTACATACATGGGCATAAACAGGCACAGCACACACACACACACACACACCACAATTTAATTATATAAAAAATATTCTGAGCCATGTTTTCTGGACTATTCCTGATCTATTAATAGATAGACATACTTTACCTTTTGTGACACAGACGTCAACCTCAGGGCCATCTCATCTGGCACTTTAAAAAATAGGACTATTAGGGCAAGAACCTGGTGCGGGGGAGGGGGGGGGGTCCCGTATATCAGGCAGTTGAGTCCAGAAAGGAGACAGAGAACTGGCCAGACTGGTGTCAAGTTCAAAGCCAAGAAAACACGGAGTCAGCGGGAGGAGAAAGAGAAGAGGTGGCACAGGAGAGCAACCTGTGGTCCACAGTCAGACAGCGTTTGCTCTGGGTCTCGTTGGCAACTTTGGGCTGTGTGTGGGCAGCCAGGAGGAACCAGAGGCCGGCAGGCGAATCCCTTCCCAGTCCCTGCCAGTGGCAGAAGTGCTGGACCCAGTGACAGAGCTTGAGGATATCCTTATCATTCCCCCGATAAGAGGCATCAGATAGCGTTTTTAGACTCTTCATTATTTCAGCCCTGAAGCAAAAGGAGCATCTGAGGCCTATAGTGCAGATGTAATTTACAAGGATTGTGCTGGGCAACACCTGTCCAGCAGGTGGGAAACCTGAGTTCCCATCCTGGAGCAAACCACTTCCTCATCGACAGTTGAGTTTCAAATGAGTGACAATCAGCCTTCACTTGCTTCAGTGTCACCGGGTTACGTCCCCGAGCCACCTGATATTTTTTACTAGCTCTCTAGCTGTGTATGTATAGTACTGCCATTATTTATTACACTTGGACTTGGGGATAGGGAAGTGTACGTTTGCAATGGGGTGCGAGTTCATTCACTAGATTTAATGGCAGGGAACGAAGGCTTTGCTTAACTTTTTATTCATTATGGCACAAGAAAGAACTTTAGGAAACACCACTGAAAATGTCATCGCCAATATGAAAATTAAGAGTAGCATGTTTTATATAAAAAAACCCATCTTTTTCTATAATACACATTCCCTTATGAAGTGAAAAAAAAATTTCATAAAATACTGAAGCGAATTGCCACCTGCTGGTCAAAAATTGTTTTGCAGTTGAAAAACTTCAAATTTACTACTGCACTATGGTAGGAACACTTTACACTACACATAAAATTACCAAAGAAAACATTTCCTCAGCCTTTGGCACAATGTAAATACAGAGCGTAATCTTTTTCCAAATATGACTTACTTTACAAAGCACTGCATATAATTTGGTTAATACTGATTATGGGGCAAAAGGAAAAACCATGTTCTGTAATTTGAATACTCTCTTTTGACCCTCAAACACTTTATAGTTGGATTCCAGTTTGCAGTTTTGAAAAATACATAAAAATCATACATTATAAATATATATTATATATGGTCTATATAAAACTGAATGTGACCTAAAATGGGAAGGACAACTTCTTAATTATTCTTTCTTTGTCAGGCACGGCCTTCCTCTCTGAATTCTTTCTAAACAGATTCCAAAAATATATTCCATAATGTACCAAATTTAATATTTTCCTTAAAACATATTCAATATGAAAAAGCATTCAGTGACTATATTTTTTTGTATCTCACTACTATAGAAAAAATATGGCTTCTCATATTCTGTTTTATTTTGTTTTGTTAGTGTTTTCCTTAGGCATTGAAGGAAGGGCTGTCCCCAGTTAAAAAGCAATGGCCGAAGCACAGAAACCTGCTTGTGCGTATTCTAGAACACTCTATAGAATCTCATTACTTAGATTAAGTGATTTAAAAATGTGTTCCTTCTGTTTTCTGTGAATATAACATATAGGATTATCATACATAATCTGTTACAGAATATACAACAGTCAAAACTGAAGACACATGAATACAATTAAGCTGTACCAAAGCAAGAGTTTTATCTTATACAGAGCCAATGTGAATAGCTTTTAGATTGGATATTAGCATCCATTTCTGGTTTTGTTTTTTCTGAAGGCTGGCTATGCAATAGAATCTTATTATAAATGGCCAGGGTCCTAGTGCTCTATATCTTTAAGTGAACTGACTTTTCTCGTGTTTTTTTTTTTTTTTTTAAGTGTAAAAGAAGAAAAACAAGTAAGTGCCCAATTGTCCAACACCCACTTTTTCCCCTACTGAGTGGAAGAAGGCTGTTTGGGACGTGAGGGCTGAGCGTGGAGGACTCATCTCATACCAGCGTTTCCGGGAGGGCATCGGGGTTGTCGGTGGATAAGAGCTCCCAGATCTGCCACCGCTCCCTCTGCCAGTCGAGCCAGCTGGGCTCCCCCAAGGTCTTACTGTTCCTATCGCTGGCGGGACTGGGGTAGGCGCTGCTCGCTTTCTGCTGGGCGGCCTGATGCTCTCGCTCGGCTCTCTGGATTCCCTCTTCCAAAGCTGTTCCGGAGCCTCCTTCTGGCCTCTGAGGCCTCCACAGCGGCGGCTCCGCGGGCTGCCGGGCCGATGCTAGGGCCTGCTTCCCTGGACCAGGATACGGAGGAGGAGGCCTCTTGTCGCGCCTGGCACCCTCTGCAGGTCTCTGGTGCAGAGGCTTGGCTCTCCTCTGCAGCCAGGCCGCCTCCGGCTCGCGCTCCGCGAGGGCTTCGGTCCAGCACGGCTCCGGCCTTGGCCTTGGCGCGCGCCTCCCGCCCCCGCCGCCCTTGATGGGGGGCGTGCTGCAGACGCGGGCCACGGGGGCGTGCTCCCTGCGCTCGGCGATGGTGCTCGTGGTCTGAGTCCTGCCAATGACCTGCGCACTGCTGTCCAGTTCCATGGGGCTCCCCTGCCACCGGGGCCAATTTGGGGACAGGTTCCCTTGCGAAAGAGAACACGGCCCCGGTCGGAGGGAGCTGCTTTCAAAAATGTCTCCGTGGGAACCTGGGAGCCGGAGAGAAGGGCGAGAAATGGAATTGGTTTGTAGGACCCCTGTCGGGATGCCCGTTACCTCCTTCCTACGCTGCCAATTTCAAAGACTGAAGAAGCGCCGACACGCTTAGCTGTTGTCGCCTAAAGTAAAAGGCTTCCTGGTAAGAGGCACGTGCACTGCTGTTTGATCACTGGCACGATTCGTGAGGCAGCTCCAGAGACAGATGCCTGGACTCTGACAGGTTAGCTGTCAAATGCAGCCGGATAGTCCTTGGCCCTAATTTATGTTTTAGGAAAGCCCCCTTCTGCGTGGCTATGAAAACTGTTCTGAACCTAGAAGGTGAAAGGCGCATTCCCTTCCTGTTCAGTGCAACTTGCAATCCAGAGGAGATACAAGTAATGTTTCCATGTTTCTATTGTGTCAATTAAAGCTGTAGGAATAAATGAAACGAATCAAAAGTGCCTCATTTGGTGCCAGAAGATAATGAAGACAGCAGCCGCTGTGTATATTCCACCACCACCACTGTGGGAGAGACTGGCTCGTGGTTCACCAAATGGTCCCCTTTCCTTACTGGATGACATTTCCCAGCCTCCGTTGCAGTTAGGAGGGCCACATAACTGAGGTCTGGCTAACACATGTGCAGAGGTGTGATGTGAGCCATTTCTAGGCCTGGTCTAGTAAACAAACAAACACACAAACAAACAAAAACCCAAATGCACTCCTAGTCTTTCCTGCTTGCTCCCTTCCTTTAACTTCTAGCCCAGGATGGAAAAACCATGGAAGACTCCAAAGCCTCTGAGGACGGGGGAGCCACTGGCTACATGGAACTTGAGCCCCTGAATGACTCTGTGGAACAGAGCACTCCCACCCTTCATCGCCCTGCACAACCCACAGTGGACTGGGCGGTGAGGGAGAAATCAACCTGTGAGAGGTTAAGACACTGACACTTAGGGGGTGTTTCTTACAGCAGTTAGCCTTCCCTAACTGATACAACTTTCCTCAGGAAATTGAAAGGAGACTAAAACAGTGCATTTCACAAGCAAATGAGGAGTTCCTGGGGCCTATGTCCCCAGGCTGCCTTTTTCCTATGGATCTGCCCTGTCCTCTCATTTCTTTTTAGTAGGCAGGGAAAG